TAGACCGTGTACCGGATTATCGTGCCATATACCTTTAACATCCATCGCGCAAAAAAATGTGCATCGAACTTGAGATAAGAAATAGAGAAGTTGCTTATCTTACGTTTCATTCCTCCTAACCCCCATCTCGCAGAGGTGAGGAGAGCACGGCTGCGTACTAAATCTCATCATGGTTCTCTGTAATCCTGCGTTTTGTGCCGGACAAAGGCATGATGAGAATCGTATAAAACGAAAACATCTCACGCAGACTGGAGCGCGCTTACAAGCCACGCGTCAAATAAACTACGTGCACCCGCCCCTCCACCTACGGCGATATTAAATGCCGTTAGTTTCGAGCACACGGTCCAACTCATTAAACGCGAGGAAACATGGGATAATAGCATTTCCTAGCTTACACATTCAGGCATGTATTTTTTGACAGCTCTTTGATGAGCCTTGTCTTCGTTCGCTCCGTCACCACTGCCACAAAACAAGGCGAAAAGGAAGAGCAAAAAACGGAAAAAGTTGAACAAACGAAGATTGATTGTAATGGGAGGACATGTGTAAAATGCAAGGAGAGATAAAGAGACTTAATTTTCAGCAAATAGGGAAGATATTTTAGAACAATCCGATTGTCCTGGCTTAGTTTGATTGTCAAGAAACTAAATTATAGGGAGGGCTAAGACATTAGGCCTACGGCCTCGATCAATCCTTTTTCGTGAAAGCGGCAAAGTGCTCTCGTAAAGCAGAAGATTTTACTCTTCCAAAACAACGACAATTTTGCTGAAAATGCTCTACATACAAAAAAGCGCCTCCAGAATTTCCGCTCAATTCAAGTTAGGAGGAGGGGAATCAAACACGCCCTACAGCAAAGAACCACCTGGTAAGGTTTGAAAACCGGAATCTGCGTATCGCCATAACTTTCCCATAACCATAATACTTATGTTATTGGACAAGTTTTCTCGAAGAAATTGTCATCAAGGACATTGACCCATGCGGGGGGGGGGATTCACTGGCGTGCCTTTTGTACTTCGTGGGCTTCATCCCGTTTCAAGACAGTTCTCGTGATCAAGTGGTCCGCGAAATACTCCGGCATTTGGCACTCGGATCCGCCTTGGCAAAGAATGTACTACTTAAGAGATGAAGAAGCTAGAGACGCGTGATTATTGCAACCATTGCAACCACGATTACTTTCACTCTGCAAGACAGCGGCTTACAAGCGGAATTGCGTGCGTACATAGCGTTGCCTGGAGCGTTGTAGGGTGATTTGCTGTGTCTTAGCCGGGAATAAGTTGCACGTCAAGTCCTGCTCATAAGGCTTGCCGACGTCCGACAACCTCGTTCAAGGCGCCACTGCTGAGGGAGGAGGGCTCTGTTCAGGGAGTACCCTAGGTTTTTTTGCTGATTTCTCTGCTGGGCTATTGCTTCATGACTGAGCACGTACTACCCGTGACACTTGATTGCGGGAATCGTCTTTAAGCAAGCGACAAGCAGAGTTTAGACTACGACTACTGAACTTCTTTTTTGTATCATAGCACCTTAAAGGCAGTTGACACGATGGTTTCTTACTTAGCCTGGAATGCTAGTAGGGCGCTGTATAGTGGGGAAACGGCGAAAGAACGGAGTGAAACGGTCAAAATCCTGCGAAGAAAAAGCCTCCGTTCTCAGTGACTTGTAAATCGATTTCGGACGAGTTTCCCGTAGGCATCTTACCAATCACCGCTACCGAAGATACGGCTGCATATGTGTACCCATGTATGCATGCAGCATCACGGCCGCTTCATACCAATCCCTTCGCTTTATAATTTGCTCAGCAAATGAATGAATACGAGCGTCAGGTAGCTCCATTTTGGGGGCAGGCCGGGGCGTGGCGGGCGTTTATGCGACGTAAAGTTGTGGCCTCCATAAGGGCCCTTAAAAGGCCACCGTCCCTCCGGAAAAACCGCTATGCCAGCGCCTGCTTCAGGGGTCCGCTGGAATTCTATCCTGCCAGGAGTATGATCGTAGTCGTCTTGGGGGATTTATCGTGCCAACTGCCTTTAAGAGATATACTGCTGCAAATTGGGAGAAAGTTTTCAGTTGCTGAAAATGGCTCACCTGCTTGCCCTTGGTGCCCATAGAGTTATTTAGAGCCTCAGGCATAATTTCTGAACACATCCTCTACTTGTCTTGAAGACTAAACGCTTCGTATCTTTCCCCCAACTGACGCTGGCACTACTCCTTTCTCACTGACCCACACAATCTCCCACTGTCGAGGATTACCGATACACAAATGCACTCGACTGGAAGGACAAATTTGTCAGTGATCGGGGAATTACTGAACGCGAATCAGAGTCGAACAATGGCTCGCGGACGAAAACGTTCCTGCGGACAGTGTTCTTCTTATGCTTCTGAAAGACATTGGGACAGTGTTGGGTGGAGCATTTTCCGATCACACTTCAAACCTTACTCCACTTTCGAGTTTCCCTCTACGAAGTTAATAATTCATTTTGCGGTGAAACCTATCGAATTGGTAAGCATTTCAAATGGACGGGTTTTCCAATGACTGGACGCAGACACGGGCACCAAGTATTTAGCTGAATGACGGGGGGTTCATCCAGTTCGTTTAAAAATGTACGGTAGTGCTTCAATCGCCAATATTCGCCAATATTCGCTTCGTCAAGCGCTCCAAGTGGACGCGCAATTTGAATTTCCCGCCTCATCGCCGCGTGACGCCCGCCCTCAATAAGGCATTGTTCACAGTCTACGGCCCAGCGCTTCTCTTGAAAGAAGCGGTTCGGCGAAAAGCCTTCGATACGTTAATCGCATTGGCGTGTTGGTGCGAAGAGTCCTGACGCTTGGTTTCGAAATGCGTTTGCCATACCGTCGTCGACGGGCGTTTCTGCCGAACGCGGCGTTTTTGCCCCCATTCGTGAAGTGCTAGCTTTGACCGCTCTGGCGTTTTCGCCTAGCATAAATCGATTACGCACCTCATTGCTTTTCGCCGACGCCGTCAACCGCACCGGTTCGGCCCGAAAGCCGAGCCGCGTTGGCGCATTCTCCATCGATGACTATTTTTTGCCTTTCTCACCCAACCCGCCTGTTTGCGTCAGGTTCGCAGACTGTGAACAAATGCTAAAAATTTACGCCGCCGCTCATCATCACATCGCCGCGTGCGCGCGCGCGGCTCGCCGAGCTAGAAGCGAAGGAGCCGAATTACGGTTCTCTTGCCCGCCTTCCATTAATCTGTGACTTTCATTATTACTCTTGACTTTCCCTGTAGAGTCGACACAATTGCCAGTTGTACCATTCCAAATTGTCCGAGTCAACACGCGCACAGGCGAACCAGACCTTGCACCCCTCCCGACCAGACCTGCACCTCATGGTTAAGGATTTCCCATTATATGCTTCACTACTTGTACGGCAGAGCCCTCACACTTCCTTCAGACAATGATTCACCCCTCTTTTCCACAGTGCCCTAAACATAAGACAGCGTTCAGACTTTGAGACGCACTCGTGTGTAATCGCCAAGTCTAAATGCTTGATACTGACACAGCTCCTCAACGCAATCGCGCCCAAGTAGGTAACAGGATAACCACCTAAGCCCTACGCATACCTGCAAAATCATGTGCTGAGCATGCTCATTCCTGTCGTCACATCGCATTTAATTCCGTTTCTAAAGGGAATTATAGCGAAAGTTTGCCTTTTTTCAATACCTTCACTGAAAAACCAGGTTTAGAACAGGCCATGCGAGCAGCCGGATAAGTAGACGGCGGAAGGAAGCCATCGAATGCATACCCGTGGACGTACAGTCACCGCGTCCATACGATGGGAGCCTTCAATTGGTCTCGTCGGTTTTTCCGCCGCTCCAATCGTCTATGCGGTTGTTTGTGCGGGAAACAGCAACTTTCAAATCTTGGCGTCAAGCTTAGCGTGAAGTGTTGACTTTTGGCGATCATTTAGCGGTTGGTCAGGTTTTTGCTGTGCCTTCCGGGTTTCTAACGTCTTTTCTTTCGTTGACATGTTGTCTGTGGGGACTCTGTAATCTTCACTCAGCAATAAAAGTTCAGTACAAAATGCCTTGTAAAGAATGAGCGTGGAACAGTAACAGTAACTTTGTTAGAAGGGTCGGAAGTATGCTCCACATCCTCCTGCTCTATATAGATAAATGTCTCAGAGCTTCTGAAGCGAGGAATCCGACATTGTGAAAAGCGAATGGCTATTAACCTTGATCTCCGTCTTGTTGAGTGCTGTTTTGAAGCGCCTGGTACTGACGGCTATTTGGCCGAACAGGGGAAGTTCTTCTATCTGCTTGCTTGTATTTTTGCCGAAATTTCGATAAATATCAAATAATCACATTTCCTGATAGCTTCAGTTCGTTAGTTTATCACCGCATGTACGACCGTTTCCAACCTTGTGTCGTATGAGGTCTTCTTGAGTAAATGTTGGAACCGCAGCTAATATATTAACCCAGCACTATTTGGGTATTGCTTCGCCATGATCGCCTTCGTCGGAGTTCGGAAAGTCAACGATAAGGGTGACCTTCGGTCTGCATTGCATTCAGCCTTAAGTTTTGTGTTTGTAGTATCTTGGGTATTATCGCATTTCTTGACAAGTATTCTATGTTCATCGGGCTGACGTCCATTAATCTGACCTGATTGAGTGGAGATGTTTGCGCTCTCACCACCAAGGTTCCTATTATTCGACGCCAATTATTGGCGACCTGATGCTCTCGAGATGAGGTCAGCGTTCTCGCGCGCGAATTTTGAGCTGCGAAAATGTGCTACGCGTCACTGCGTGCACAATAACATCTCCTTGTTTTTTGTTTGAGAAATCGAAAGTTTTGGCCTGGGACTTTTCCAGGTGTTCTCCTCTTTTTCCTTGAATAAGTTTTTGTAAGCTATGATTTGGTATTTTTTTAACTCTTATTATCTTCACTGTTCTCAAACTACTATGAATATCTCGGTCCTACAACATCGAAATGTTCCTACTTACAATGAACATAATGTGTAAGGCTTTAGCGACAGATTTCTAGGCTAGCGATGGCTCCTTCACCCAGGAAAACACGTACGTCTCCTCGCAAGAAAGCTTGGGCTTCACCTCCGAAGGCTGTTGGGAAAAGTTTTTCCTCAATTTTTGTGAGTAGAGAGTTCCGAAAACAACTAGACAAAGATTTTCTAACCTTGCGTAAAAATTATTGAGATTATAACGCTCAGAATGATGCCGATTTCTCTCCTCTGAATTCCTCTTGGGCTGAAGTTACTGCAAACGATGAAAGTCTGAATGCAAGCATCCATGAAAGTCTCTCAAAAAGCGAATCTCGTCGCGGCCGGAAAGCCAGCGTTCCGAAAAAGGTTAGCTTTCATTGTATAATCCTGTTTGCGCCCAGCCTATGGTTCACATCGCTATTTAATAATGCAGACCTACACTGATTTGATGGATTTCAGGCGAATTCAAAGCCAAAGTTTGTCCGCTCGTTGGATCTCACTCAAGAAGTATTTGGTAATGGCAGGCGATCGGAGCGAATCAAGGAGAAGGTGAGTGGAACCTAGACATTGCGTTTTTTTCAAATATTCCTTGGCATTCGTTGCTTTAGCAAGTAGATAAACTGTGATGCCGCGCCTTGGGACTCGGGAGATTCAGCGATTCGGGACGCGACGATAAAAACATAGGTATCGATCTGGCGACTGCAAGGATTGAGCGATCCGACAATCTAGAAGAACGCGTTTCTTGGGACTGCACGGCACAGCACTGGATGGGTATCTATCGGCGCCGCTGGCTAGCGGTTGCGGAGATTCGGCGCTCATTCTCCCAAATCGCCGGAAACGCCGAGTCTCTCGAATCGAATCTCACAATTCACCGAATCTCCCGAGTGGCAAAGTATGGAAGTATGCTGGCTAGTAGCCAATTGTGCTAAAAGCAATATTGTATTGGTTTTGCTCGGTGGTGGAGTCTTGGAAGATCGGACCTTGTTTTGTTATGACAAAGAACGAAAACACCAAAAAGTTTCGAAAATTCGGAATTATTCGTGTAATCGCGTTCCTAACCCTTCAAAAGGCAGAATTGCCCTTATATGTTACTGACACCCATATTTGAAGAATGATCTATTATGACCTGCTTGAGAGGGCCATTAGTGCTGTAGGTGCCAGACGCAAATGCACTGGAGAAAAGTGTTGGTTTGAAATACAGTATTCATCACTGATTCACATTCCTTATCTTGAGCTCTTTTAGCCTCTTATTTCAGGTAGAGATTGTTGTTGTTGAGAAGAAAACATGGACTGAGGATGCTTCTTTACGATCAAGAGAAGTAGGTCACTGCTTCATTTCTTTGGAGAGATTTCGAAAGGCTCAACCTTCATTTAATCTTATAAACATCCTTCATTCAGTCGCGTAAACGTCATTTGAGTGCTGCATCAACTGCCACATTGAATGAGGATTGCGAGGGATGCTCACCTATCAAAAGAGCGCCACCAAATGGTTCGTCCTCCACAGGTCGTCCAGCCAGAAAGAATCTAAAAACCAGCACACCCACAAGAAGTCCATTCCGAAGCAGGTTGTTATTGAGAATTATTAGTTTTAGCATTGAAGGTGGTGATAACATAGCTAAAAGTTCATTTTCGCTGCAGATCTAGATTTTATAACGATCTCCATTCATTCATGTTAGTCTGTGGGCTGCTTGAATTCGTTCCTCCGACCGAGATCACTTGTTGTCTGCCCGCATACACGCCGTTTTATAATCGCTGTAAAGGCACATGTTTCGCACGATCTTGAGCAAGACAAGCGGTACTCCTGGACCGGAGCCTCCGAGGGGTTATTTCATCAGATTTGTCGCGAGCTCCTAAAGTCACTTATAAATTTTGCGACTGAGGAGATTCGGCCATTTGAGAGTTTGCGCGACGAGACAATTATAGATATCGATCCAGCGATTGCGGAGGTTTTGAGATCCGACAATATACAGCGGGGGGCGCAAAAGAAAGGCACCTTTCTTCATTGACGAGGCGCTATAAGTTACACTTTATCAAATTCTGATCGGACATTTTTACCACCATATTAAAGAGCATATCAAATACTATC